TTCACAGACAAATTGAAAATTCAGCGACGGAAGGTGGGAGAGGGAAAAAAACATGTTCATGAAAAGCCATAAATGAAACGGAATGAGTTGATGAAGCCGCTAATGATTGGCGACCGATGCGATACACATGAAGCGATGTTATCCGGAATTAAGATGCCTGTGTGGACCTGAAAATAACGTCAAAGACAAACTCAAGTCACACAATGAATTGGGGTAGATCGAACTCACAAAAGAGTACGTTTGACAGCGGTTAGGGGTCCATAGTTCGAGCAGAATCACTGAGCTACCTTAGGCCAACAATATATCAACAAAAAATAGCATATCCAGTGTCAAATAGCGATCCTGAAGTGAGTTCAATTGCTTTTCCATGGATAAAAATGCCGGTTCAAAAGTCTGGGAAGTGAGGACATGGTATTCACGTCAATGGGACAGTTATGGTCCGCATACTTGACTCATTTGATACTTATCGAGGATCTCAATCTAACCAGTTATGTTTATAAACATTAGCTCAAAGCGTACAAATATTCTTCACATTGCTCTCATTGAGTAACTACGTCTCGTACGAGACCGTTTGAGTAATAGCGTATGCTACACAGGGGTGTTACGTCTCGTGAATGCATCGCCCACCAACTTCATGAACACGTTCGACGGGTGTAAAAAAACACGTGATTTTGAACAGCAGAAGATAAATCACACTTCTCAAACCGATGATCCCACACCCAGCTTATCGTATGACCCATCCCAGATATCCTCGCTCTCTTCGTCTAGGTCACGACGTAACACAAACGGTACGGCAGATCAAATGTAAGCGTCTGTTTCAATGACATGAGTGAATCAGCCTCTCCAGAATGTCATCATCATCATCGTCATCATCTTCGAAGTTCTCCATCACAAAAGACAGATGTTTCATTGTTTCGGTTTCCAATATTAGTCTTTTCACCTGAATGAAATAGACGTATGTATGAGAGAAGGGTAATGCACTTTAGACAAGAGAAAAACGAGTAAACAAATTATGAAGGGGGAGGGAGCGCGGGCAGAATTTGACGAATGTTCTGATTCACTCGACAGTGCACAACCGGTTTCGTTCCGTGAGACAGTTTTGTTCGTTCACGATCATTTGAATTCAACAAGCTGCACTTAACCGACCGACCGAACAACCGTCATAGCTCAGTGCACGGGGGTCATGGTCATTTTGAGTTCCGATATAAAGGTGAAGATGTATTTACTTGATGTTTGAGAACCGAACACCATCCGGAAAGGTGATTTCAAGGACTGGTTTGTTAAAACTGTTGAGCGCGGATTGTTTTTCTACTCTTTTTCATCACCTGGTCCAATATTACGGTTAGATTTTCGGGGGTTTTGATACAACCAGATTGAATCCGAATAATCAAAGGACACGCTCCGTTAGACAATTTGCAATCCACGGGAATGAGTGGGCAATCCAATATGGTTGGAGGAATTGGTCGATCGGTCTAGTGACGACAACAACAACAATTCAACACAATCAGGTTCCGTGGAGGGACAAGTGAACCGAAACCGAACACGCGCACGGTTTCGATGTGATGCGGATTCCGACGAGAGCAAAAAAGACCGCTCCAGGTCTGTGTGCATAGAGTGTGCGCGCGTGTGTCTTGTTTATATAATCAAATCGTAGTAAGGTTTACGCAACACAGTTTTGACATCCGGACAATGCAAGCAGGATTTAAAGATCAACAATGAACAAAGAGAGCGAGAGGAGAGTGTGATGTCTGTGATTGTCGATTAGATGCGTAAAGTTGGGGATGGACAAGTAGAGAGAGAGAGATCGGAATTCACATGGGTTGGGATCTCGATTAACCCGAAACAGACTGCAAGTGCAGAGGTAAAAACCAAAACCAAAGTATATCATGGGATACAGTTTGCCTCTGAACTTCTGAACCAAGACATACAAAGAGGGAACCTGAAGGTCATTTTCATCTCTCGCAGCAAAGAAATTTAAATAAGCCAGAGGACAGTTTAGCAAGAGTTACTATCTCTACAGGATAGTTCAAGACGAGTCCGTAGCACACAGAGAGTAAATAATATCAGTGAAATTTAAAACGTACCTGGTAAGTGAACAAGGTATTGGAATCACCAGACTGTAGGCACAATTCAGCGTTTCGCGACAAGAATGAGGTTATTGAGTGACAACCAGTCAGAAATCGCACTCGACCACCTCTCAAAAAGCTTCTACTGAAGAAGCCCTACTCACTACCTTCTCGTGGGGTGGTTTTCCCTCACCAAAGTGGGGGGACGAAAAGCCAATATCCGTGTTGATGAACCACGATTGGCAGTTCATCTAGGGGAGTTGGCTAAAACCCTGATTCCAAACCAACCAAGAGGTGTACAAACCACGAACACACACCTTCCTGGTTGGAGCAGTCGTCACCGGCTCGATTGGGGATTGAGGAGTATTGGACACTTTGGACGTTTGACCCAGGGCGTATGATTCGATGAACTGCACACTGGCCCTCAATGGATTGCGGTTTCCGTACACTTTCCGGCTAATTTGCGAGTCAGGCTTTGTTTAGCCGAAGGCTCCAGTTGTGAATTCCATCAGGACATTCACCTGCTTTGACCTGGGCAACCTGGCAGTATAGTGCCCACGAACCTTCTTTATATCTTATAAAGATTATTGTACCGTGATTTATTTGACATACGCTCTGAACTCAGATATACGTGAAAATATATAAAATATATTCAAACACGTTGTCGACGACGATCGCCTTTCCCTTTCGTTGCGATGTAGTGTCGCTGATTTGGTAGCTCATGAACGATCATAGTGACTGCGATAAATTTCACAGATTGTCAGTTTGGAGTAAAGAGCTGCAAAACGTTTAGGGTTCTCAGACATGGATAATGTGCATGGATACTGGTTTAGGAAGGAATAGAATTAATCAGCTTGATGTTCCATTAAAAGGAATCAATAACCAAGGTGACGAAAAATAGCGGAATTGGTGTTTTCATCACAGATGGCGATATCAGAAAATGTAGTTACCAACAGAGAAATTTGTGCGTCGGCATTAACGACACTCGAAAAATGACTAATCAGATTGTTGCGACAATGCGAACTCCGGTTTGTTTCAGCTTCTAAAGAAAAGAAACTAAGAGTAAAATCCAACGGGACAACAGGTGGTCTCAATCAAATACTGTTAGAACTCAGAAGGGAAGTCAGAAATCGATTTGTCTACCCGGAACGCACTATGAATCGGATCACCGAAAAGGGTCCTGCACAACTGTGTGTGCACAACCAGTGAGATGTGGCGTAGACAGTGAGCTCGAATCAGATGTATAATTTACTAGGGTGAACATTTTGCATGTGTCACCGTTATTAGGAAAAATGTATCTGAACAATCGGATCAGTGACGACGGACTGTGTTGTTCGATGAATTAGGATCGTCTGACAGCGTTCAACGTTAGCCCGTATTCATTTTGGTCCCAGGTTATTAACTATTTCACTTCCGGAGAGAAATGCTTGCGCTCGGTAGTTTCGGTTTCGGTTTTGTACAATTAACGATTAATCATGTACTTTCGCGAAGCGGTTTTGGTTGCTGTCTTTTGGTTGACCATTTGAATCAAGGGGTAGTAGAAAGATTAGAAAGTTGAAATTAGAGTCGAAGAGGAAATGAAGAATCCCAGTAGATTAAGGGTGCGAAGATACTGAGAAGATAAACGACACTCAGCCGTATCACTCGGTGTCTCTAACCACTGATTACAATGATCCCGAGGTCCCCATCCAGGGAGCCTAACGCGACCTAGATGACCGGATCTCCTGGTTAAGTTTTTCAAACCCGCATATCAAGGCTTAGCTTGACCACCTTGGCTGTTTTACACCCACTATCTGTCTCGACAAGCGCTCGGCAGTATGAGAAGCGAAACAGCGGAACGTGTATTCGCACTGTTAATGAGTTACCGCAACTTATCACCAAACATAAATGTGTCGCTTCCGGGTTAACGGTTGGAATGAAGCGTGAGATTTTCGCCCGGATTGATTCGCGTTGCCCAGAGATCATCGTGCTGTTCATTTGCACTCGTTTGCCATTCAATCGGATGACGAATCATAACACATTTTAGATTTGCCCACCACGTACACATCCGCGTTTTCTCGCCTGAAACGAGTTCGCTGAGAACCGTACAGTGCATAAAAGTCGGCAAATAAAATAGTATGGCACACACACGTGCTCACACACCGTTGAGATGATAAACGCATCTGAACTGAACCGAATTGTGGGTCGGTTTGATTCTGTTCATACAGAAATTGGGCCACGATGAGCGGAAAAAAGTTGAAGACAGACCCCAAGAATGTGACTATACGTATAGATGATGTCAGCATGCCTCGGTTGATCGCTTGACTTCAATCTGCCTTGTTGTGACTGTGTATGACCGACAGGGAGGGTATGATAATACGTTTGCCGCCTGGAAAGAAAGCCAATTCGAGTCGACTATGTGTAGGGAGAAAATGAAGTTGTCTGATTCACTTCACACAGTACCGGGCGATTGGACGAGAAAGGGACGCATGACCAAAATGTTAATCGAAGAGATATGATTTATGACGAAACAAGGTCAAAATGTGTGCGTGTCTGTCTGTCTGGGTGAGCTCGGTGAAAAGGAAAACGGAGGGCGGGGGGAGGATTGGAATACAAAGGACTCCCGACAGCGAACGCGTGTGGGGACAATCCGTATGGAGTTAGAAATACGCATATACATATACGGAAATACACAGACAAATGTCTACACATGCAATACACACGCATACTTAGGTATGTTCATCCATACGTACAGAAATAGAGACGCAGGCACTGGAATTCCAGTCCGGATAAAACGAGAATGCTGAGAGGATTGATCAATCGAGTTTGACAATCGGGTTCACGATTGCCAATTGAGGGTGAAACTAGATACAGAAAACAATAGAATGAACTGCACAAACGACTAGTGTGTTCCATTATTGGATTTATAAGAAAAGCTTCATCTGACTGAAGGTGTACGATAGGAGACAACGCGGAGCCGGAGATTATGCACACGCACGAGCGATGTGATGAGCGCATTTCGTCATAAGAAAAGACGGAAGTCAGTTATATACTAAATTTCTGACAGGATCAGATTGGCCAAATGAAGCGGGTGACTGAGTTCGAAATGATGTATGATGAGCAATGTGTGCGATTTACGCAGGTAGCTTGAATAGGTAAATGAGGGATCCTGGCAACGCTCCACGTACATTTCATGACACGCGTGATCCTGGAGACCTATCGTTTTGTAGATTCCCGTTCCAGTAAATCCCGATGAACATAACACTATCTACTGACTGTTCAGGAAAAAATGAGCAGATATATATATATATATATATATATATATATATATATATATATATATATAT